ACCAGTTGTTCCGTGTCCAGATCAGTGGCACATGGCATCACTGTTACAGGACAAGGTCCCTTAGAAGAAGTAATAGTCCATGGGCAAGATCACACCGGGAATAGTGACGAAGGGCGATATCTACGATTAACTTCCCACTCCTCAGTTCCTGTTATTCACTTTTAACTGCTGTCCTCCTCCCTTTCTTGGAACACCACTGAACTTTAAGCCCTCAGAACCACAACTCTCCAAAGCTGTTTTACCCTTCTCAGCAAGCAACATCGCTACTTACTTCTGGAACATCTTCTGTCATCATTGCCAAACTGCAATTTTGCCATCACCAAGACAAAAATAGTTACCTTGTTTCTTGTTCTTGAAATCACAAAATGGTAATGTCAACTCTCCTCTAAGAGAAACTCTTTTCATTATAGGAAGTTTAGCATGTAACCAGTAGAGCTGCTATTTAATTATTCAGCCATTTATTTCATCAATATTGAGAATACTATGACAGTATTTGGGTATAAAATCAAAGATATTAAGATATATTATGAAATATTATGAGGCACAATTCAATTCTGAAACTACGTGAATCAAGAAACTACATGCAGTGTGGTTATAAGGCAACAGTTAGGTCCCATCACTTTAAATACTAAAAGAAATAAAATAATCAAAAAGATCCATCCACATAAAATTAGCCATCATCACATTAGGCAACATTATTTAACTATCCTTTTTTAACACCTTATGAATACAAGCAAATTTTTACATGTATTAGGTACAATTTTTGAGATTCATATTTTGTTCACTTCTAAATTATAAATGCATCAAAATCACTGTTTGTACAATTATATTTAAAGGCAAAAATTGTATGATGAAGCTAGCATTAACATAAAAGTTTAATTTTTATATACCTTAAAGTGTTTTGAAGCATCATGTCCAAAGACAAGGAGACACGACCAAGTATGCATTCTGGTTTACATGAATGTGTGTGATATACAGGTCTAATATATGAAAAAAGCAAGATTAACACACAATATTAATCCGAATAAAAACAAACTCATCCCTCAAAATTAGGAGGGAAGAAACTAGCCAAAAATCTCTAGTTTACCTTTTCCTGTCTTTACTTAGCTGCACTTAAAAGTCTTTTCCTCATAATCTGAAGCTTTATAATTTAGACGTGACATTTGCACAGGTAGTCAAATGAGAAATTCTCCAAACTTCAACAGTTACAGACATAAATAAGTGAAACAGTCTCTAATACCGGCAATGATGGTTACCATGCCATTTAATCCCAGCTAGGTGTTACTGCTGCATGACCTAGTGAAGTTTCTTTGGATCATTATGTACTGATCTGTCAATTATTTTTTCCCTATAACTTCTTCTCTTACCTCTCTAAAACATCATTTAAACAGGCAGTCTATCTGACCTGTTTTTTTAATACACAAAAGTATCATTCAAAATGAAATTACAGCACTAAGATAACCCACTGTTAAGCATGACTTTTTGCAACAACAGGAATATAGCTAAATAAAAGAAGCACATTAAAGTCACTTTTTAAATAAAAATTTAAAAGACATTTCCTAAAAAAAGGAATTACCAAAATGAAGGATTCCAAAAGAAAACGTTTTTGGTGCTTTCAAAGCAACTATAGATTGGTTAAGTTAGAATAGATGTCAGCTGCCAAAAGAAAAAAGTATTTCAAACAGAAGGGTCACTATATCAACTATATTGTTCTTTAAAAAAAGAGCCTGCTTAACTTCCAGAAAGGGTTGATGATGCAAAGAGACGTGTATAACCACAACTACAATCTTCCAGCAGTGATGCAGTATTACTTCAAATGTGACTGTGTAGTAAATCAAAGAAAGAGCAGAGGAAAAGTATGATCCAGTTCTTAGTGATATCATCAAAAACACTTGCCTGTAGGGAGACCAAACATCAGAAGTCTTTATCAGCTAAACAACCTGTCCAAAGAATTAAGTTCCTACTCAGAGCGCTAGAACCCAGGCACTGTTTTCCCTTCTCAAATTAAATGTTCCATCTCTGATTTGCAAATAAGAGAGCGTCACCTACTCAACAGGAGTATTCCTTTTGTTACTGATAGTTTTTCCACTGTGTTGGAAAATGGGGTTTGGTAGTTTAAAAATGCAGCATTTATTCATTTCTACAACATAGTACAATGGGGCTGCAGCATAATTTTAGATTTATAGGATTAAAATGACCATTAATTCTACAGTATAGTCAAAACCATGTATTAGCTACTAGCACCATACGTCTTGAAAACATGCAGCACCTCATATTTAGAGAAGAGCTGAGATGTTAAAAGTTTAGATGAATATATATGACCGTTACCAAAAAAGGGGAAAAAATAAAACTGACATACTGACATAAAAAACCCTCATCAGAAAACAGAGATACATTTGCACCTGCACAAGGAACTATAAGGCTAACATTGCATTTATGCAACTTCATGGTTGCAAAACTGCACACAAGTCAAGAAAACTAAAATTACGCTTCCCACAACTATTTTAACTCAGCTACATTTTGTATTCAAAGAAGCCAGAATTACAGTATGCTATTCTGCCTCTTAAATACTAAAAACACCAAAGCAGAACTGTGGGAATCATAACTCTAATCTGACCAGCTTGTCTGAACTCAAGATCACAAAGGAACCGTTGCATTAAATATCCACACAACTCTACAACACTAGTTAACAGCAATTTATTTATTCTGTTTATGAACCCACTGCTGACCCTTTACTGTCTCTGGTTGTTGTAGCAATATAAGGAAACAACATTAAGAACATTCACATACTACACAGTCTGTTCAATCTTGATTTTTTTAAAGCTAATTTTATTTGGACGAAACACAGCCCATTTTAGTTTTCTCTTTTACACAAGCATAAATGTCATGCATTTGTTAAATGCTAACACTACAGCAAAGACTTGGAATTCTGCCCCCTACCGCCTGATTAGGAGCCGTGATTATCACTCCCCTTTAATTCTTACATTTTCAGTGCTACCAAATAAAGTCTAAGTCTTTTTACACATCTGTGATGAAGTAAGTTTATGGCTAGTCCAGAACACAATACACTTCATCAGCATGCTAACCCATTCAGAGAAAACATCTGTAATACGCTTCATGTTCCTAAATTGTCTTTCAAAATATTCTTTTGATATTTAAAAAAAAAATAAATTTAAAGCATATTTTATCGGAAAAAAAAGAAACTGGCTTAGTTGACAAAGATTAATGAAATCTTCTCTCAGAACTAAGCACAATTACAACCAAAATAAAAAAACAGAAGAGTAATCTACTATCACCTTGTTTAAGATCTGACTAACTGACTGGCTCTATTACCTCCAAGCCAGCTTTTAAGGATTCCCTATGCCACAAGTGCTGGAAATGAGTAAATAAGTAAATAGAAAGATGCACAAAACAATGCATGTTCATGTAAAAAAACAATTAGAACCATCTCATCAGGCCTTTGTTTTACATATTGTACTCAAATATAACGTGGAAATCTCATTTAAGAGGAATTAAGTCAATGCACACCTACAGCTTCGGACGCCAGAATTAGTTCGGTTGGAAGTCTTATCCTGAGAGTTCCCAAAGCTATGCCAAAGTCACCAGTACAGTCTGCTTTTCAGCCTTTCAAGTCAACAGCACTAATAAACACCTGTTTCTACTGGAAAAAGAAATGCTGGCGAGACAGACATCTGTACTGTGTAGCTGCCAGATTTACTCAGTGTGTGGCCACAGGTGTTGACCCCAGTGTTGTAGGAGCCAAAGGAGAAAGACAAAAGGAACTGGCATTAATAGCTGTACTAACAGAATGCATCCAATATTCAAGTTTCATGAAAGTAATTTAACTTCTGGCTCTTAGGAGCATGACTCACTTCTCTGATTTGATTCTGGCTATATACAGAAGACAAGAGGAAGGATATGAGTTTTTCTACACAGTTAAAGGTTATGACCCCTTCACTGCCATTACTGAAAACTGTAGTACCTGACCCAAAGAGGCAGGATACAGACAGACTGGTACTTGCAAACCCCAGTAACATTTCGACTAGTTAAATACTTCCACTTGAAGACCATCGTGAAAGTATTAAAAAATAAAATCCAATAATTTTATCGTCAAGACCTTATGATGATCATTAACTGTAGCCAGCATGATACTCCTTAAATCAGAAGGTTTTTAAGCAAAACATTTTTGTAACATAGCTCAGCCAACATTTCTTTCATTGAGTAGGATGGTACACACATAAACAGGGGAAAAAAAAGATTAGATGATTATATTACCATAAATTTTAAGAAGCACTGCAGCCAGGAATTCAATACAAATTATTATAGCAATCCTTAAGGACAAATGGAAAACAATGGAGTAGCTACTTAAAAACCACCCACAGCAGGAAAAAAGTGAAGCTGAATTACCATCAAGCAACTTTTGAAATGTACTCGGCCTTTAATATTTCATTTTTCTTGCTATAAACACTGAAAGAAGACTGAAAACCTAAATGAAAAATTTGTCTTGTATGTGAGACTTCACACATGTATTTAATGTACAATGCTGATTTTTGCAATGGAAGCAATTTTAATTGCACTGTCTAGCATTTAGTTACACTTCACAGATTTTTATTATGCAACACAAATTATTCAGTATTCAAGTCAGCTAATAATTTACAAAAAATTTGCCTTAGCTACTCTAGAACACGCTAACTCATACTGTTAAACACACATCTACTGTGCCAAGTCTTTTTATTTTCATCTGTTCTGTGAAATAGATCTTAACAAGGATGATTGATCCAAGTTACAACAAAGTACATACACACACACCTGGGCTGTTAAACCTATATTCCTGCCAATATCCAAAATCAGGATCTGATCTAAAGACATTAGAAATTCTTTAAAATCAAAAGGCATTGGAGCACACCACTATATATTTAGCAGAGCATTTGTGGGATATAAATACATGCTATACAAAACCCACCTGAAAAAAAAGTAAGACACTACAAAAAAGAAATTACCTGGAGCATCTTGTAATGATCTTGATGTGAAATTACTTCTTCTTTTTTTTCCTTCAAGAAATCGATTTCTAGAATACTATGTTTTTCCAGGAAATATTCTAATTCCTATAAAGTTTACAAAATAAAATACATGAAGTTACAAACATTTGTGAATTGTGTAAACCCAGATTCAGTTGATCATTCCAACTAATTTAATTTCTGAGCACTATGATATTTGCTATCACAATATACACAGAGATGAAGGGTTCCACAAAAAAAACTCTGATTGCACTGAGACAGTATTTTCAAGCAGGATAATGTATTTCAAATTAATGGCATGTCCTGGAAGGCATCTCCGATGAGAAGCAGCTAAGGGTTTGTCTAGTCTAGAGAAAAGGAGGCTGAGTGATGACCCCATTGCTCTCTACAGCTTCCTGAGGAGGGGAAGCAGAGAGGGAGGTGCTGGTCTCTTCTCCCTGGGATCCAGTGATAGGACACGTGAAAATGGTTCAAAGCTGTGTCAGGGGAGGTTTAGACTGGACATTAGGAAACTTTTCTTTACAGAGAGGATGATCAAACACTGCAACAGGCTGCCTAGAGAGGTGACCGATGCCCCAAGCCTGTCAGTGTTTGAGACATTTGGACAATGCCCTTAGTAAGATGCTTTAACTTCTGGTCAGCCCTGAAGTGCCTAGGCAGTTGGACCAGATGATTGTTGTAGATCCCTTCAAACTGGAACTATTCTATCCAATTATTTCCATATTTTTAATTGCTTTTTCTGTCTTTCTGCATTTTAAAAGCAACATATTAAATGTACTTAGCAAATGGTTTCACTAAAAAGGCAGAAATCCCATTACATACAACCTTAATAATCTCTACCAATAACTCCAAAATGACTAAAATTTTAAAACATTCTGTGTGCTGGGGTTGTTTAGTCTAAAGAAAAGGAGGCTGAGGGGAGACTTGATTGCTCTCGAGAACTCCCTGAAAGGAGGTTGTAGGGAGGCGTGTGCTGGCCTGTTCTCCTGGGTAACTGGTGACAGGACAAGAGGAAATGGCCTCAAATTGTGTTAAGGGAGGTTTAGATTGGATATTAGGAAAAACTTCTTCACTGAAAGAGTGGTCAGGCACTGAACAGGCTGGCCAGGGGAGGGGGCACCATCCCTGGAGGTGTTCAAGGAACGTGTAGACGTGGTGCTTGGGGACATGGTCTAGTGGGTACGGTAGTGTTGGGTTGATGGTTGGACTGCATGATCTTTTCCAGCCTGTGTGATTCTGTGATCTTGCAGAGGTCGAGCATAGAAGCCTGTCCAACATGAACCAATACAGAGGAAAGAAAATGACACTAGTGCCAACAAACTCAAAATCATTTGCTATACAGAGAGCTAAAGATTTTTTTTTCTTAATGCAGCCATTGCTCCTACCAAACTCATTCCCACTATACATAAGCTGTTGGCACCCTTTCAGTTGCTCAAGAACAACTATTTCTGCAGCCACGCAGGAAGCCAGTATAGAAACAAGTGACCTGCCATATCACTGTACAGCTATGCAAACAAAGGCACAACTGGGAGGGTCATAGGGAGGACAGGTCTGCTTAGTTCAATCCTCCTTTTGGATGAAATAATAAAAACAGTTCTTGAGATTCAAAGTCTTTGATTCAACTATAGAGATAGAAATGGATTGTGCATCACTTAAATTTAGAGCCTAGCTCTCCTCTTACAGTTTGTATTCATGCTTCCCTTCCAGCCCTCCTCTATACACTTAATTCCTACCAAAATAATTCATTCCAGACCACCTCAGCTTTGGCTCTAGTTAGTCATCCTCAATTTTAATTTCCAACAAGCCATTTCCTCCTTTCCTAGCACACACTGACAGCTATCAAAGAAGAGTATTAAGAACAGCAGAAATTTAACTTACTCTCCCATGCCTCAGTGACTTTTTGCTAACTCACATGCATAGTTATAGGTATAGCCTTGTTTGGTACTCTATCATATTCAGGTCAGAAGGAATGTGAAGAAGTTAGTTACCAGAGCTCCAAGAAAAAAAAAAAACCAAACAAGTGTGTTATGTTCATAAAGATTGCCAGACACTTTCAACTGCAGTGACCACACTCACACACTCACTTCCAAACCATGGTGTAATCACTACACCTTCTACACATGGCTCCATGCTAAGAACATTTGCCCCTCCCTCCACCCTCACCCAATCCCTCTCCCCCCGTAAAAAAAAATTATTTGGAAATTGGCTAATTTCTACAAGAAACAGATTGCAAATCTCTGTCAGCTCCAACTATATTTAAATCTTATATAAATGCCAGTTTCATTAAATAAAAATATTTGTACCTTTTTAATGTTTAATTTCTCTTCTTCAGCAGTGCAAAGCTGGATCTCAAAGTCTGCAACAGCTTGTTGAAGGTAGCTCTTCGGTTCATTTGTTCTCTGTGTCTCAGTATCACTCAAACCAACGGCTGAGGAAACTGAAGTCTTGTCTTCAGTTACATTCAAAGAGGAAACTGGAGTATCTGTTTGAATCTAATTCATATGACAAATCAAATGGTAAAGGAAATGGTAGAGAGAATTTAACAATGATAAAGAGAATTTTACAATTCAGTCAAGTCAAATTTCCTTTCCAGATGACATTGCAGAACTTAAGGACTGTAAATATTAATGTTACTTTTTTGAAACCACAATTCTTCGAAACTGGCCACGCACACTCTCATATGTAGGATGTGCTGGCCAAAAAGAAAGCTCCAACCATGGAACAGTAGCTAGTAATTCTAGATGGACTGACAACAATCCTTCCAATCTCCTCGACTGCTTTTCAAGAATACTTTAGAAGTCTTTAAGAAGGAGGGTGGCACAGATAACTGTTTCCAGTTAGGTCAAAATACTCAAAAGAGGTGAAGAGTGACAGAAGTGAAGCTGAATCATCTGTCTCAAAGCATCAGGCTTAGAGGGAACTAAACTCTCCTTGCATTAGTCAGTCCATGTTTTCACCCAATGCAGGCTGCAGTATCCATGCAAAGGGCATACAGTTGTTTTGTGCTAAAATAAATCTCTCATCTTGAGGCTAGACAAACAGAATAAAAGTAATTGGGACGTGTCTACAACATTTAGTTAATGCTATTTCAGTGAACTGTAGAAGTACAAAAACTGAACCGGAGCCTTCTTGAATACACAACCCCAAACAGATGAAACACTGATAATAAGACCATATTTTCAGAAAAGCACAAAAATAAATTAGGTGAGGTTTAAAATATTTTGTGGTATAATTAACAAAAGCCAAGGGTTTGGTTTTTTTTTTCCCTTTATAAAAAAAAAAAAAAGGCAAAAACCTGTTTCTATTGCAGCTAAGGAACTTCAAGGGAAAAAGCTGGTAAATTAATTTCTGCTGCCACTTTTTCAACAACAATTTGAAAGCCAAGGGCACTTGAGATTTAGGGAGGGTGCTGAAAGGAACATCTCAATGTGTTTATTAAGAGAAGTTTGACTGATCTGATTTATCCATCCCCTTAACACCTTCTTATTCCAAACACACACTCAAATAATAGACTGAGTTTTCAATACCTCTCAAAGGATTCAAATAAAGAAACAAACAAAAATAGCTGAAATCTTGGCTGGACATGGATACAAAAGATCCAGTAGATAAAACAGCCAGAAAGAAAAGTGTGGTTTTGCTCTGAATTCCCCTTCTGCGAGAAGCTAGATGTGCTAATTCTAAGTACTACTCGAGATTAGAGTCTGGCACTGTCAAAAACTGATGTTGGAACCTGAAATGGTGACTATTTTTAATATAAAACTTCAAAAGGCTCTGGCAATATAATTACAGAAGAATACAATTCTCCTAACATCCTCCTTTAAGAGTTGTAAGAAAATTTTTTTATACTTTTATGCTCACCATTTTCCTTTAGTTTTATACAAAAGTGCAAAGTCTGATCTCCATTTCAAAACAATCCTAAAGGACCAACTCACTTTCTCCCTTCAGTAACACTTGCTAAAGTGATATTCTTTAGTTTGTGTTACTGCCCACATTAAAAAGTTTTTGGAACCATGGGTCTGCCAGTAGCTGACCAGAACAAGATGAGAAAACTTGAAACATGGCCTACAACTAGAATTCGCACACATAATTATTCAGATTCAAATATTGATTAGTTCAGAGAAAGACAAGAGCGCTTTCTAATTCAAGTATATTCTAGTATGCAAGCTGAAACAAGGAACTGTACAGTCAACAACCTTGTTCAAATAGGTGTCACTGCAATCAATGGCAATAAAAATTCACTTGGAAGGGTAAATCTATTCTCATCCATAGCAATCTAGCTTTCCTGTGCTAATCTCCAGGCAGAAATTTGCTCACTTAATTGTTTAGTTAAAAACTGAACATTTTCACTCCCCAAAATGAAGCTTAGTTCTCAGCAGTATTGAAGCCACAAGGAAAGATCAAGATCATGACTGTCAGATAACAGAACAAAAAAAAAAAATTAATATCAACTTTGATTGGGGAAAAAATAAAGTAAAATATAATAAGATTTAAGAAAACAACAATTTAAATATAAAGATCAAACATTAATTCTCTAATCCCAAAACTTGAGAAAACATACAAGTTTGTCATTTATGTAAAGCCATAATTTTTACAGCTTTAACAGTAACAATTATTTTTAGAGAACCTTCCTGCTACTGTTTACTACTGTCATGCCTAGCATGATCAGCACGCCTCTAACTTATATTAATAACTCTGACACACTTATCTCTCTTGTAATCCATACCAAAATATTATGGTGTCTCCCAGTTATAGGATTTAACCACAATTTAAAAATTATTTTAAAGTCTGTATCACAGAAATCCAAGGACCTTTTGCTCTTAAAAGGCAATTCAATTTAAGTTTGCACAGAAAAGATACAATGCTATGCTACTTAATAACATCAAGTCCCCATATTGAAACACAAAAATTGTGCCTTTACCTGTTCTTCAAGAACAGCTGGGTTCACAACACTGTTGGCCATTTGAGCAGCTGTTGTCACATTATCACTTGATAAACTGAGTGATGCAGAAGGAACCAGGCAGGAAGAAGGCAAAGAGCGCTCCAGAAGAACGTCAGGAGATCTATGGACTTCAGATACTAATACAAGAAATGAAACGGAAAACACACACACAGTATGAAGAAGCATTCAAAATTTAATTCTGTTTCCATAATCTGTACCTAGAAAACCATCACACTAGCAGCAAATATAATCATATTAATGTAAGGTCATGTATCTCTTACAATCTAACTGCACTGAAGCATAATTCCATATAAAGTTCCTGTATTTTTGAGTACTATCAACTTAAGGACATTCAAAATTGTACAGGCACACTAAATTTAGACTTGTAACTTACATAGAGGTTTCACACGACAACTGCCATCAAAACCAGAGTTTTAACTTCAATCTCTATGCATTCACATAACCTTTCAGCTTCAGCATGATCTTTAATTGCTTTAAGTCAACTGTAAAACTGTACTTATAATTTCCTGAGTTTTATAAATTGTAAAGGTAAAACAAAATCCTCAACTGTCTTAGAAGACATAAAACCAGCTTACCAAGACACATGATAAAAGCAGTTTTGTATTTTATAAGAGATCAGAAGGTAACAAAGTAAATAACTCTAATAAAAAGTGAATTAATACCGGAGTCAGAGCTCTTCCATAGCAATTTCCAGTTATGCCATAAAAATCAGTGGATCACCCAACAAAACAGAAACTTGAGCACATTTATGAAAGATTCAGACATAAACTAAATAACAAGAAAGGAGAAGAGAAAGCTTTGCATACATTTTTAATTTAACAGCAAAGTCCTGCAAACATTGATATGGTCAGACAGAGGTATGCCTTTGCAGGAGAAAAAAGTATACCCAATATTTAGAAAAAGCAGCTCACATTATAGTTAAAAATCTGGTAAAATGTAAAAGATACCACTAGCCCAGAGCAAGGCTCTGCTGTGCATACTGCACAAGTATGCATACATGCACAAACAGGAGTATACATTTCCCTAAAGCCCTTCAAAAGGACAAACTAATCTCTGAATCCAGGCACTTTGTGTCACATCTTCTTTACTTCCCAGTTCTGGGACTCAGGTTAACACAGAGGAATATGCAAACCTCATCTAACAGAAAGAAGAAAGAAAACAGACCATGAGACAGACAAATACCAGGATGCTAATTGCAGCAATAGTAGATTTGGAGATGAGTGGGTGGGGAAGCAAGAGTTCAGCAGAAAATGGAAACGGCTGAAAAGCCTAAAGGACAGTATGTCAGCAAACACAACAAGAACTAATTCAGGTAAGCAGGACAAAATCAAGGACTGGGACGCAACTGCAACTTTAACAGTAAACTATTCTCCACAATCAGGAGCTTTTAGGCTTCTTTTACATACCATAAGATATACATGAAACACCCCCACCCTTCCAAATATCTGCTTACATAGGCAGCTTCCTGTAACCACTTTTGAACTCCGTTCAAGTGACAGTGAGATGACAGGGAAGACTGTTTGGCCTCTAAAAAACTAGTAATGTCTGTTTTCTGCTATAATGGTCACAAACCCGGGTCATCATGAGGGACTTCAACCACCCCGATATCTGTTGGAGGGACAACATGGCAGGGCACAAGCAAGCCAGGAGGTTCTTGGAATGCGTCGATGACAACTTTCTCCTCCAAGTGACAGAGGAGCCAACGAGGAGGGGTGCCATGCTGGACCTTGTTCTCACCAACAGGGAGGGGCTGGTGGGGAATGTGAAGCTCAAGGGCAGCCTTGGCTGCAGCCACCATGGAACGGTGGAGTTTAGATCCTTATGGAGGTGAGGAGGGTGCACAGCAACCTCACTACCCTGGATTTCAGGAGAGCAGAACTTAGCCTCCTCAGGGAACTGATTGGGAAGGTTCCTTGGGAAGAAGAGCAGCCTTGTGTACTGGGGGATGAAAAACTGGACATGAGCCGGCCGTGTGCGCTGGCAGCCCAGAAAGCCAACCGTATCCTGGGCTGTATCCAGAGCAGCGTGGCCAGCAGGGTGAGGCAGGGGATTCTCCCCCTCTGCTCTGCTCTGGTGAGACCCCACCTGGAGTGCTGCGTCCAGCTGTGGGGGCACCAACATCAGAAGGATATCGACCGGTTGGAGCGAGTCCAGAGGAGGCCACGGAGATGCGCCGAGGGCTGGAGCCCCTCTGCCATGGGGACAGGCTGGGGGAGTTGGGCTTGTTCAGCCTGGAGAAGAGAAGGCTCCGGGGAGACCTTATAGCACCTTCCAGTGCCTGAAGGGGCTACAAGGAAGCTGGGGGGGACTTTTTACCAGGGCCTGTAGTGACAGGACAAGGGGGAACGGGTTTAAATTGAAAGTGGGAAGGTTTAGATTAGATATCAGGAAGAAGTTCTTCCTGGAGAGGGTGGTGAGGCACTGGGACAGGTTGCCCAGAGAAGCTGTGGATGCCCCATCCCTGGAAGTGTTCAAGGCCAGGCTGGATGAGGCTTGGAGCAACCTGGTCTAGTGGAAGGTATCCCTGCCCATGGCAGGAAGGGTGGAACTAGATGATCTTTAAGGTCCCTTTCAACCCAAACCATTCTGTGATTCTGTGATAGCCTCATACCCTGAATTTCAGTTTGAAATTAATCTCCAACACATGGAATACCAACTAAAATAATTTACCAAGCAATTCTGATTGAACAGACAAGCTGTTTCTCTTATTAAAACTGTCAATTCGCAGGGAAAATCTTTGCGTGCCATGGATCCTTGTGGTATTAGTATTCATCCCTTGGTGATGATCACCGTAGCATATGCACAGTTCACATATAAGTAACATATCACAAAAGTAAAAACAGAAATTGAGTCTGGATACAGATGAGGAATGGAGACTCACAGAGATTATAGCTTAAAGTATTCATATATTTTTGCATATCAAACACTAGACATAAGACTTCATTTTCAGATAATAGTTTTATGTGGAACCTTGTACAATCAAATCGAGTTTTCACTAGTTCCAGTTATAGGAATGAATACTTAGCATTTTGAGGGGGAACAAAAAAAAAAAAACAGAAACAAAAAAAACTACCTCTTAAGCTGTCAAAATAAAGCCTAGGAAATGAGGAGCAACAACTGGTGGCCACCTCTAAATACTGTGGTTTAAAATTATTCAACTAAAGACATGACCTTGCAGAAGACAAAAAAAAGGCAGCTACTCTGCAAGGTATCATTCAAACTTTTTTTTTTTTAACAAAGCTTTTTTTTTTCCTTTCAGCAATATTAAAAATTCATAAATTAGGCATTCCTAGAATTACATATGCTATGTCTGTAAATCAAACTCTTTTAATTCATTCCTTTTGTGTATATATTGGTGAAATTGCATTAGCATTTTCCTTCAGCTCAAAATTCACTTATGAAGACGACCCCTCAATCATTCCTACTTACCATGTTACCAGTTATCATAATGCAACAGTTTCAGAAACCCTAAAAGAAAAACCTGATAAAACTACCTGACTGGACTCCAATAGCTAATGGATATTCAATTGCACAGGACCAGGCTAACACTAGTCTGAAATAAAACTCCTGATGCACGTGTAGTATGGAAATTGGCTTTTCAGCATCACTTTACAGATCATCTCCCCTTCAACTGCTTCATCATCTGTATGATACAAAGCCATCCTGATAATAATAAAATATTCTTCCACTGTATCCTGTCCTGCTGCAATATATCTCCTCTGACTTCTTCAGTAAGCAAGGTGGGAGTCTGATACTCCGGATAAATTTCCAAATAAAATTGTTATTCTACATTGATCAAAGCTGTAGTACTGTAAAGAATAGCACCATGTACTCAGTTACAGGTATATCAAAAGTCATAGGCCCGAGGAGGCTGAAATAAGATGAAGATATAAGTTATTGCCAGAACTGTACGTAAAAAAATAATCTGGTAATTTCTGAACACTTGACTTCTCGATATCACAGGTTTGTATGTAAGAACTGACAAAACCATGCAGTTTGTTAATAGAAACAGAGATCAGTAACCGCCTGCAGTCTTGCTCATGCAAGAAAAATTCTGTATCCTTATCCAAGTAATGATTGGATACAAATCATTACTCAAACAATTATTAAAATCACTGGGGGATCAGAAATACTGAAAACAAAACCAAGTGGTTGAACATGAACTGTTAAATCAACATTCCACAGAAGTCATGCACTTCATACCGAGCTTCAGAATGAAGACGTTAGATATGAAATATATCACTGAAAAAATAAATGGCTAACATTTACTAATTGGATGTTATTGACATACACCAATTAAGAGATGATATGTCAGAAGGGCTCTGATCAAAAGACTTTCTTTCAAAATTCTTTGACATACTTTCCCCAATTTTTCCCTTTCCAAAAACAACACTTTAAATGGCTGTGTTTACAGATCACCAATTCACCAGAATGAGGTGCTTTTCCACAACTGTTGGGGAATTAGAATTCGGATCAACAGGTAAATGTCTAAATAGTGCTTAAGTCAGTAGCAATTTCTCTTTTGACTTCAATGAGCATGACTGTCCTTCTATCAAGAGGAAACACTTGGCTGCTTCTCTACACGTACCGGTTTACAGCAGTACATCCACATACAGTGAGGAAGAGAAACCACACTAATGTGCTTTCAAGATTATTTCTTATAGTTCACAGCAGAAAGCTCTTCCCCACATTTTACCCTTCCAAAGCCAAACTGTTCTAGAAAATAAGTAATTACATATAGTATTCCAACATCTTAAATCTAAGACCATGTGGAAATACAAATTTTATTTCCTACTTTCTTATTTAAGTAACATTAATATACAGCTACCAAAAGTGTACAACACTGCAACCATTTACTTGAGACTCAGAAATAAATCTTTCAGTATTTAATGACTACACAACATAAAAAAACCTGGGAACTTATTCCCATCAGTTTTGTTTCGTTTTCTTTAAAATAAATAGTTTTCCAGAAAACGGCCAAAATATTCAGTCAATATGACTGTCTTCTAAAGCAGTTTGGCAACTGTAAGTAAGAAAGAGAGGAAGTGGTATGTAATCTAATAAACATGCAAAAAGACCACCTTTTAACCATGTGTAAATTCTAGACAGTCAAATTTGAAAAGTTGTATGACTCATTTTCAGAGCAGCACACCCCAGGTAATAGAAACGTTAGCAAATGAAAAACAAGACCCTTCCAGAGGTTGTATACCATTATCAACAAAGACCTTTGAACCTGTCCAATCATGGCAAGGAATGAAACCAGTTCCCTCCAATCTCCTTAGGGATGTATTAGTTTCCTACTAATATTTCCCACCCCTCCAAAATCAAGCTGTTCATATTCTCCAGAAAACCAGTATCTATTGTGAAAAGAAACAGCTAAAAACAACCACTTCAACACAACAGCTGAAAGCAGCACCTTTCAAGCCACGCAGATGTTGGCTTACATGTTTACACACTAATACACATCACCCCATCTCATATTATATAGACTTCAAACATCTGTTCTTTCAATGTTGCAAACAAGACCATCAGAAATACTGAATTCTTAGTTGAAACATGAAAAACAGGCTTTGCGTACAGACACTCCATCCATATTGTAATGAAAGAATATTGGAACAAGGAGAAAAATCTTCTCCAGTAATTTGGAGCATGTTCTGTTATTCAAGCAGGCATTGAGAATTCTCGCTATCAGACCAAACATAAAAGATGGCCAAATTAATTGAAAGGGCAAAATCAAGAGCTTCAAAATTATATATGCAAAGACTACATCTGTCTAAGCCACAAGCCGCCAGCTTCTTTAGGAGATGCTGTGGGAGACCGTGTCAAAAGCTTTACTGAAGTCCAGGTAGACAACACCCACAGCCTTCCCCTCATCCACCAGGTGGGTCACCCGGTCACAGAAAGAGATCAGGTTGGTCAAGCAGGACCTGCCCTTCATGAACCCATCCTGGGTCAGCCTGAACCCTTGGTTGTCTTGCAGGTGCTGTGTGAGCTCACTCAAGATGAACCACTCCATAATCTCCCCCAGTACCAAGGTCAGGCTGACAGGCCTGTAGTTCCCTGGGTCCTCCTTCCAGCCCTTCTTGTAGATGGGCGTCACATCAGCAAGTCTCCAGTAGCCCGGGACCTCCCCTGTTAACCAGGACTGCTGCTAAACGATGGAGAGTGGCTTGGCAAGCTCCTTCACCAACTCCCTCAGTACCCTCGGATGAAGCCCAGCCAGCCCCATAGTCTTGTTAAGTGTCCAGGTGGCACAGTAGGTCATTAACTGCTTCCTCCTGGATAATGAGGGGTTTATTCTGCTCTCCATCCCTGACTTCCAGCTCAGGGGGCTGATAACTGGTCTGGTTATTGAAGACATAGGCAAAGGTGGCATTCAGTACCTCAGCCTTTTCCTCATCCTTTGTCACCGTTTCCCTCCACATCCAATAAGGGATGGAGATTCTCTTTGACTCTCTTTTTGTTGCTAGTGTATTTGTAGAAACATTTTTTGTTGTTTTTCGCAACAGTGGCCAGATTAAGTTCCAGTTGGACTTTAGCCTTTCTAATTTTCTCATTCTCTTTGACTCTCTTTTTGTTGCTAGTGTATTTGTAGAAACATTTTTTGTTGTTTTTCGCAACAGTGGCCAGATTAAGTTCCAGTTGGATTTTAGCCTTTCTAATTTTCTCCCTGCATGACCTTACGAGATCCCCGTACTCCTCCTGAGTTGCCTGCCCCTTCTTCCAGGAGTGGTAAACTCTCCTTTTTTCCCCGAGTCCCAGCAAAAGCTCCCCATTCAGCCAGGCCGGGCATCTTCTCTGACAGTTCGTCTTACAGCACATGGGGACAGCCCACTCCTGAGCCTTTAAGACTTCCTTTTTGAAGGACAACCAGCCTTCTGGACCCCTTTGTCCTTCAGGACAGTCTCCCAAAAGACTCTCTCAACCAGTGTCCTAAGCAGACCAAATTCAGCCTTTCAGAAGTCCATGGTAGCAGTCTTGCTGACCCCTTCCTTACTTCTCCTAGAATCAAGAACCCTATTATTTCACGGTCGCTAAGCCCAAGATGGCCTCTTACTACCAGATCTCCCACTAGTCCTTCTCTGTTTGTAAACAGCAGGTCAAGCAAAGCACTTCCCCTAGTAGGTTCACTCATCAGCTGTGTCACAGGAAATTATCTTCCACACACTTCAGGAACCTCCTGGACTGTTTCCCCTCTGCTGTGTTGTATTTCCAGCAGACGTCTGGTAAGATGAAGTCCCCCACGAGAGCAAGGGCTAGCAACTGTGAAACTTCTGCTAGCTGCTTGCAGAATCTCTCTCCTTATCCTGGTTGGGTGGTCAGTAACAGACTCCCAGCAGGATGTCTGCCTTATCGGCCTTCCCACTCATCCTTAACCACAAGCACTCACCTTTATCACCCCCTTGTAGAGCTCTACACAATCAAAACATCCCCTAACATACAAGGCCACCCCACCTCATTTCCCTCCTTGCCTGTCCCTTCTGAAGAGCTTGTAGCCATCAACTGTGGCACTCCAGTCATGAGAGTGATCCCACCATGTTTCTGCGATGGCAGCTACGTCATAGCTATCCCGCTGCATCATGGCTTCCAGCTCTCCTGCTTGTTGCCCATACTGCATGCATTGGTGTACATGCACTTCAAGTGGGCTATTCATTGCGCTTTCAAGTTTGGCCTTATGTCCCCAGGCTTACCTCTAGTGAGCTTGATTTTATTCCTTTCCCCCTTCAAACCTAGTTTTAAGCCCTCTCAATGAGCCCAGCCAACTCATGAGTGAGAATCTTTTTCCCCCTTTGAGAAAGCCGGACTCCATCCATTGCCAATAGGCCCAGTGCTGTGTAAAACTCCTCATGATCAAAGAAACCAAAAATCCACTGTTTGCACCAGCCTCTGAGCCACATGTTCATTGTGTGCATTTTCCTGTTCCTTTCCATATTCTTTCCTGCCACTGAAGGGATTGAGGAAAATATGACCTGTGCTCCCGATCCTTCAACCAACCTCCTCAGTGCCCTGAAATCCCTTTTGATCGCTTTTAGACTTCTCTCAGCAACCTCATCAGTGCCCACCTGCGTTACCAACAGCAGGTAATAATCACAGGGCTGCACCAGACCAGGGAGTTTCCTGGTGATGTCTCTGACCCAGGTCCCAGGCAGCAACATGTTCAAGTCCTATTTTTAAGTTTATTTTTCATATGTCCTCCCATCATTTGCAAGAGATCTTCCATACTCAAAAGTAAGAATATCCTTTGAGTGAAGAATCTCAGTTTCTTCTTCCCATGACATGCCAATCAGCCTTTGAACTGGATAAACTGTACTTCTCTTTCATTCCTCAAGATATTTTGGAAAGCTCAAAATTAAACTAAACAGCTCAGGAACATTCTTATGCTAGGTTTATCATAGAATGGTTTGGGTTGGAAGGGACCTTAAAGACCATCCAGTTCCAACCCCCCTGCCATGGGCAGGGACACCTTCCACTAGACCAGGTTGCTCCAAGCCTCATCCAGCCTGGCCTTGAAGACATCCAGGGATGGGGCATTTCATCTTCATTACTGTCTGTTCTTTTATTGTGAAAACACACCCTTCTGGGAACAAATATTTACAGTGAATACAGAAGGTCAGCAATACATTAATAAGAATTTTAATGGTGATTTTATCAATACCTGTAGGAAATGCTGCCCAAGCAATAGCAGGGGATGTGGTCTGCTTTTCACCATTTTCAAACTCATAAGTCTCTGCTGCCTAGAAACAGGGGAAAAAAAAAATCATTACATATTTTATGAAATAGTATAAATTCCTATCAAAATAGTTGAAAATAGTAAATTTCAAAATTATGTCATGGAAATAACATACCTCAAATCCTCCAAAGTCATCGTCATCCATCTTTCAACCGGTACTAAAATATAAAAGAAATCTTGATTTAGAAACCAACCCACTAAATTGGTTTCACAAAGTTTTTATTGTTATTTTATGAGTAAAGGGGATAAAACAAACACATGGTCTTAGTTTTAGAGGAGCGACTTGGGCAGAAAAGTCACTGTGGTCACACCTTAAAAGCCCAGCAATAAGAAGTACAAGTAGTGCAATGCCCTACACTGCAGGAAAACTGATTTTATTGGCCAGTAACATAAGAAATATGTGCTGATTTTACGGTCAACTAGGAGTCAAAAGACAAACTGACTCATTTATTTGTACTTCAGTTACATGACAGATGAGTAGACACCTTCACTTGGATACAACTGCTACCTAGCTCATCTACGTGCTCTTCACAACTTGATCACATTCTCATTTAGAAAGAGTATTCATTCTTTCATCCAAGTACTCATCTCCATTGGTTACCTGAAGCCTTCCTAATTTACAAGTTCTACAAAAGACCAAGGGACCTAAATGAGAACTTTTTCACATGGAGGATGTAAGGGCTAGAACTGCAAGATCTCTGTTAAGAAGCACTTTTTTATTGATCAAGGTGAGTGAAAAAAAGGGGGAATTAGCAATGGAATTTGAATATCTTCAAGGGAAAAGCTAAACACTGTCAAGCATCTTTCAAAAGCAAGAATGTAGAAAAAAACTTTCCATGACAGGAAAGCAGAAAGATGGTACTTTAAAAACTGTATCTGTTGTTCTCAAGTATAGCAGTCAAGTGCCCAGTAACCTCAACAAATTGTACTGAAAATAGCAAATAACCCAGTCAGGACATATATTTTAAAAGTCCAGGAAGTAGGATTTCTGACCATCAGATTCCAAAATGAAGAATTTTCTTCATTAGTAATGGGCAGTCCAATTTAATGTAATCATGATCTACCACGTAATTCATCGTTTTGTGTTTATGACTTAAAACATTAAAATATTTTCCATTGTTAAGTTACTTTTCCAAATCAGCACTGTGATTAAATCCAAAAAGATTTCCTGCTTTTCCCATCTCTTCTTAGCTGTCTGGCAACATCAGCACAAACTGCAACTTAGAAAAAGACTGTGGTGAATTTCTGGAAATTTTTCTGCTACCACAGAGGTCCTTCCCTAGGTTTCATGGAGTGGCTGATTTAGATTTTACAAACTGATCAGCATTTTTGAGTTGAAGCCCTGAATTCTGTGGCATTTTGATATATTTATAGTTAAATTGCAGTTCCTTTTACAAAAATGCAGGATAAGTTACTCAGCTAATGAAAGTAACTCAAGATACACATGGCTGTTCAAAGAAAGGTATTATACATAATTTTAAAAAAATATATAAAACTCTGATACATGAATGGATGATCCAAAAAACATTTAGGGTCTTTACAGAAAGTCAAAATGTTAGCAAAGTTAATTGACTTCAGTTAAAATAAACTATAGCCAGAGAAACTTTTATTACTGTGAAAGCACATGCTCAGAAACAGAAGAATTCAAAGGTTTTGGAGGAAATCTCCACATTAAAGTATGACAATGTCAGAAGACGACACTCTATATCCATTGCTGAAAATCACTACCAAAAAAGTCTTCAATTCAAACTCACATCTTCTAAACTTTAACAAATTATTTCCAAGTTCTTGTTTCTGAACTTGGTTTAATCCCCACTATCACAGTGTAAGCAGACAGGTTTGGTTAAATTAGAGCACTGTCCAATATTCACATCCAGTATAAGAACTAAATACCTTTTTAGGGACTGCAAGGGGTTTTGCTCATTTTGTGTTGGTACGGTTTTGTGCTGTGTTATTTTTATTCCCATCAGTATTAACCCTAACCAGTCAAACATTCATGCATTCCATTAACATTCAGAGCTTTAATACACAACTCAAAAAAATAATTTCTGCAGACACAAATGATGGCAGTGAAAGTTGTATAGATAGAACACCACTGAAGTGGACAGCGACGCGCAAACAACTGAGAATGTCAACGTATTCACGCTACCTACCATTACACGCCATCCCAAAAGACTGGTGATTTATCTAGGTACTGCAAAATGCAGCATTCAAGTAGCAATCAGAGCAGTCAGAGAATGAAAGGCTTTAGAAGGTAAACAGGTATTTTATCTGTACACTATGTATCACACCAACAGGCTCTACCCAAAGTTACTTCAAAGGACCCCAGTAGTTACTTCTAAGGACCACAGCAGATTTTCTCCCCAAAGAGCAAGAGACATTCCCATCACCACATAACTGGCCACGTCTCAATCAGAGAAAGTACATTCCATACCTAGCCCTGTATTTTAAAAAGAAAAACTAGAACAAGTTCAGAGGAGTACAACATGAATTCATGAATTAATGCAATTTTGGAAAGACACAATAAAATGGAGAGGTTCTTTTTTTTATAAAGTTAAAACAGCAAACACCTATAAAATATGAAAAATAATGTTAATAAATTATTAACTACTTTCACTGATCGCTAAATGAAGCACTGACATAAGGCAGTAAAGGACAGAAGCTTCTGTAGGCAAAATGTGTGTTAAATACTAGAGAAGATTTTCAGGAAGGCAACATAAACACCTACAAGAAAATTTATAAGAACCTATGTATACAAAAAACAGAAGTAACTTTTGATAGAGAAAAAGGATGTAGGGCAGAAGAAAAAAGGGAGAACCACCTGTTATTGAATACTAGGAGCTGTGTTTCCAAAAAGATGTTTCTTCCGGTATAAAAAGGATGCTTTCTTGCAAGCATAAGAGAACAGAGCCACACCAATGTTCTAAGAACTGTTTATAAAAAAAAAAAAATTAATCAAAGCCCGCTTTTAGCTAGGAGCCTTTCATAGCACTCACATATACATGTGCATTTAGCTCTGAAAAATGTTTTAATAATTTATTATAAGCTTAACAATGCTGAAAATACGACCAAGTGCACAATTTCTCAATTCCATCCCTTATTCTGGTGATGGAAATGCATTTCTGGTATAAATAAACAGCAGAACTAGCATAACACCTCACACAGAACCACAATTTCGGCAGCAGCATTTTTTAATTAATCATTCCAAATAGGTAATTAGACTTCTCTTTACTCACAGACTAGGACCATTATTTGTGGCACCGAAATAGGAAAGAATACGTTACGTGCTGACAATCTGCAGAAGGATTAAAAAAAAAAAACCCATAAAAAAATGAAACAACCCACACAGCCTTACCATGACTAAATGTGGTCTCTTCAAATATGCCTGATACTGGAATTAAGTAACTGTAAAATTGGGCAACAAGAAGTCAACCTCAAAATTACAGATTCATAGAAGCTATGGTTGGAAAAGATACAGTAGATCATCCAGCCCAGGCCACTTCCAGAGCATTACAATTCTCAAGACAGTCGTGTCCTAAAAAGCTCGAGAAGCTCTCCAGTCACACTCCAGTGAAAAAAAGGAAAACTTTTCATGGATCATGAATACGTAAACCACTGAATTTTCATTACATTTTATTGTCAAGCTTGTATTCTTCAAATCAATTAGGCCAGAAACCAGCCCAGAGGGTCATACATCCAAGCTCCTGCTCAAAGCAGGGTCAACACTGTGTTGAGCTCAGGTTGCTCAAGACGTCCTTCCCCATGACGGAGAGCAACGCACAGTGAATATACTGAAACACAGACAGCTGTGCGTATCTGAGACACTTGCAAGCTTCCCAACATAAACATCAGTCACCAAAGCCTGACCATCGGCTTGACACAGGTCATGGGAACTTTGTGCAATGCACTTACCTAACAGAAATACCAAAACCATGGGTTTATATACAGGAATATCGAGAGCCATTCAAAAGGAGTAAGACAGAAAAATGTAAGCTGGAAAAAGCACCCCTCTTCCCCATCCAACTGTTAATAGGAGAAGGAATGTAATTCCACCAGAAATTCCAGTATTCTTCATAACCAAAAGGCAAAAGTGGTCGAGTGGCCAAACAGTGAATTAAAAAGGATTCTTCATTCACTGAAGAAGTCTACCTCTGGTTAAAAGAGTTCAAATTAATCAAGTTCTGATTGATTACTTGATAAATCAAATATTCATTTCTGTCAGTAATAAAGACAACTCATTTTGACAAGTACATTCAACTGGACAATATAGAATCATAGAATGGTTTGGGTTGCAAGGAATCTTAAATATCATCCAGTTCCAACCCCCCTGCCATGGGCAGGCACACCTTCCACTAGACCAGGTTGCTCCACGCCTCATCCAGCCTGGCCTTGAACACTTCCAGGGATGGGGCATCCACAGCTTCTCTGGGCAACCTGTGCCAGTGCCTCTCCACCCTCTCCGGGAAGAATTTCTTCCTGATCTCCAATCTAAACCTCCCCACTTTCAATTTAAACTCGTTACCCCTTGTCCTGTCACTACAGGCCCTTGTAAAAAGTCCCCCCCAGCTTCCTTGTAGCCCCTTCAGGCACTGGAAGGCGCTATAAGGTCTCCCTGGAGCCTTCTCTTCTCCAGGCTGAACACCCCCAACTCTCTCAGCCTTTCATCATATATTACCTGTCTTGTAATTCTGAGTACGTAACTAAGTTACTTCCAGAAAGGAACAACTTAAGAGAGCATACTGCTGTTTGTTTTGTCAGAACAGTATGTGTGGAGCTGCTGTAGTTGTATTTCTGACAAACACCCTACCTGTGACAATGTATGGGTTTTACTGGCATGTTTATTCTTACCAAATGATTCATTCAATGTGTTCTATCTAGGACAGGCTTATTAGCTGTTTCTTCACCAGACATAACATAGACAGCGTGATTAAAAAATAAATCTTTGAAACTGCAGGCTCCAAAAAACCTATCCAAAATAAGTTAAATAAAATAGTAATTTATAAAAGGACATATACTGTCAATATATTTGTAGTAAAGAGTAGATCAGATGATAAATTTCTGTATTGTAACATTCTAACCAGCTCACATGCACTTTTCCTCATGCTCTTGTGCCAAAACTCCAAACACCACTTTGCGATTTAAAAA